ACAGTGTAGTGTTCTTCTAGTTGATAGTGTTGAATAGTTTCTTAATCATCTTCCATTCTATTTCAATGAAGATCATGCTTACTTACTGTGAACTTACATGAGTGTTTCTTGGTCTTCCCCTGGAAACATAGTCATTTCAAAATATTCTAGTTCAGTCTTCATTAAACTTTTAGGAATAAAATTTGTATTTAAAATGTAACACATATACATGTGTATATATGGAAAAAAGACACTGTCTTACTCTGTAGCCCTGGCTGCTCTGTCCTAGAATTGGAATTCAGTATGTAGCCTAGCTTGAACAATTCTCCTGCTCCAGACTTTTAAGCCATTATACAGGACTACAATATTTTCTCAAAGTCATTACAACTCACCGAAAAGTTAGCTAACTATAAGCTTTAGAAATTACATTTTGGTATGGTGGCAGAGGCCTTTAATTCCAGAACTCAGGAAGTAGAAGCAGGTGGATCTTACTGAATCGAGATATAGCCAGGGCTCAACAATAAGAATTTATTTTTATTTTATTTTATTTTTTTTTTTGGTTTTTCAAGACAGGGTTTTTTTTGTGTAGCTTTGGAGCCTATCCTGGCACTTGCTCTGGAGACCAGGCTGGCCTTGAACTCACAGAGATCCGCCTGCCTGTGCCTCCTGAGTGCTCGAATTAAAGGTGTGCGCCACCAATGCCTGGCGAGAATTTAACTTTTAAAAATATTACATTTTCTTGCATTTAGTTACTGTATTATATATAGCAAAGAGGTCAGTCCTATAAACACTGATGTTGTTAGTATGCTATCAAGAAAACTGAATCTAATTTACATAAAGTTGGAGAGGAGAAATGGCTGAAAAATAACTTTTTTCATATTCAACCCGTAGGCATATACTATATTAAAATTCCCTACTATTTGCTGCTTAATAGAGGCCTCAATGTTTGTTACTTTCTGGTTGTTGATCTTGCTTAAGCATACAAATTATGAACCTAAGACAACAGTACTAGTTAAATGATTGTACATGTACATGTGGTGTTAAAATGATACTAGGAAAAGAATGATGGTACGCAGCTGATTACTGTTACATTGGTTTATTTGAAGAGTTTGTATCTTAAGAATATTTTGTGGCCAGTGAGATGGCTCAGATGGTTAAGATACTTGTTACCAAACTTGATAACCTGAGTTTAGTCCTTGGGACATCCACATGGTGGAATGGGAGAACCGATTCCCACAGGTTTTCCTCTGGCCTCCACACATATACTATGGTATGCACATGTGTTCAAGTTCTATGACCAACACCTGAGATAAACAACTATATTTACCTTTTCTAGTCAGTTATAAAGACGAAGTAGATTTGCGGCATAGTGAAGAGTTAAGTCTGTGACATCAAGTAGACCTTGATCTGCAACCCAGTCTGAATATGTATTATTAGCTTTTTGATGTTGAGCATGTAAGTTAAAATCTCCAAGTTACCATATCTTCATTTGTAAAATGAGATTAGGAATACAATCTATTAATGTTGATAAGAGATTACATTTTGTAATAAATTTAAAGTAATTTGCATTCTGCTCAACACATACTAAGTATTCAGTAAGGATTAGTTGTCATTACCACTTTAGCTATTATATCACCACTATCATCTTCATTGTTACATACCTATCCTTTCTAAGCCACCTTTGTTCTGGATGTCTTCATTTCATCAACTGGAGAATTTCCTCTATCTTTAGCCTTTCCATAAACTGATGACTTCCTATCAGCAAACTTTTATTACTTCTATGCTTTTGAATATTTGTCTAGACTCTGTATTCTTTTTTCTATATTTTTATAGCTAAGCTTTTTTTAAAAATCTGCATTTAATACCTTATGAAAATTATTATTAGCATGCATTAAGTGTAAGGGGGTCTTATATGATAGTTTCATAATGCTTATCGTGTACTTTAATCATATTCATTCCTTTTATTATTCTTACCTATCTACATTCCCTTCTCTCTTTTTGTTTTATTAGCCCTGGTTGCCCCTTTCAATTTCATGTCTTTTTTCAACTTATCTATCATATATTCAATAAAACATGTAGTAATTATATTTGTGGAATTGACTTACTTTGCATAACATATTGATCTCCAGTTCTGCCCATTTTCCACCAAGTGACATATTTTCATTCCTTTTATTATTTTTTATTCATTTTACACAGTTCCCTCTGCCTCCCCTTTTCCCACTCGCCCTTAACCGCCAACCCACCTCCATCTACTCCTCAGAAATGGTAAAGCCTCCCATGGAGAGTCAACAAATCCTGGAACAATAAGTTGAGGCAGGACCAGGACACCCCCTCCTTGCATCAAGGCTGAACAAGGCATGCCACCATAAGTTATGGGCTCCAAAAAGCCAGCTCATGGACCAGGGATAGATCCTGGTCCCACTGTCAGGGGTCCCACAAACAGACCAAGCTACACAACTGTCACCCAGATACAGAGGTTCTAACTCAGGCCTATGCAGGCTCCACAGCTGTCGGTATAGAGTCCATGAGCTCCCATGAGCCCAGATCAGCCGTCTCTGTGGATTTCACCATCATGGTCTTGATCTCCCCCTTACTCATATAATTCCTCCTCCTTCTCTTGGACTGGACTTCTGGAGCTCAGCCTGGTGCTTGGCTGTAGATCTTTGCATCTGCTTCTATCAGTTACTGGATGAAGGTTCTATGATGACAGTTCGGGTAGTCCCCAGTCTGATTACAGGGACCGGCCAGTTCAAGCACCCTCTCAACTATTGCTAAGTCAGGGGTGATGATACCTCTGGAAATTCCTTTATTGTACAGTATTGTTTTAGCTATCCTGTGGGTTTTGTTTTCCCATATGAAGTTGAGTATGGTTCTTTTGAGGTCTGTGAAAAATTGTGTTGGGATTTTGATGATGATTGCATTGAATCTGTAGATTGCTTTTTGGATAAGATTGCCATTTTTTTATGTTGATCCTGCCTATACAAGAGCATGGGAGATCTTTCCATTTTCTTCTATCATCTTCAATTTCTTGTGTATCCTGCCACTTCACTGAAAGTGTTTATCAACTGTAGGAGTTCCCTGGTAGAACTTTTGCGATCACTTATGTATAATATCATTTCTACAAACAGTGAAAGTTTGAGTTCTTCCTTTCCAATTTGTATCCCCTTGATCTTCATTTGATGTCTTATTGTTCTAGCTAGAACTTCAAGTACTATATTGAATAGATATGGAAAGAGTAGACAGCCTTGTTTTGTTCCTGATTTTAGTGCTCAGTTTTAATGCATGAGAGAGGGGCCTGGACTTGCCCCAACCTATTGTGCCAGACTGTGGTGATTCCTCATGGAAGCCCTTACCAGTGAGGAGTGGATTGGGGATGGGATAGAGGGGAGGTGAGGGGGCTGGGAAGAGCAAGGGGGAGTGAGAAGACGTATGGGAGAGAGAACTGTGGTTAGAATGTAAAATGAAGTAAAAAATAAAAAAATGAAAGAAAAAATCATCCACCATGATCAAGATTGGTCCTACTGCCAGGGTCCCCTCTAAGCTTCTAAGCTTCACAACTGTCTCCCACATATGGAGGACCTAGTTCAGTCCCCTGGAGTTTCCACAGTTGTAGGTCTAGAGTTCATGAGTTTCCATGAGCTTGGTTCACCTGTCTATGTAGATTTCTCCATCATGATCTTGACCTCCCTTGCTCATATATTCCCTCCTTCCTCTCTGACTGGATTCTCAGAGCTCAGGCCGGTTCTTGATAGTAGATCTCTTCATCTAATTCTATCAATTACTGGATGAGGGCTCTATGATGATAGTTGGGGTATTCACCAATCTGATTATAAGCGTAGGCCAGTTCAGGCATCCTCTCTACTACTGCTAGGGGTCTTAGCTGGGGTCCTCCTTCTGGATTCTTGGGAGTTACCCTAGCACCAGGTTTCTCCCTAAGCCCATAGTGGCTCTCTCTATTGCAATATCTCTTTCATTGCTCGTCCACTGTATCCTTCCCTACCTAGGCCGTCTCATTCCCTCTGGTTCTCATCTTCCCTCCCCTCTACCTTTTCATCCCCCAGCCCCAATTTACCCAATAGATATAATATAATTTCCTTTCCCAGGGTGATCTATATATTCCTCTTAGAGTCCTCCTTGTTACCTAGCTTCTCTGGAGCTGTGGATTTTAGTCTGGTTATCCTTTAGAAATCAGTATGGCAGTTTCTAAGAAAATTGGAAATGAATCTACCTCAAGACCGAGCAATACCACTCTTGGGCATTTACTCAAAGGATACTCAATCATACCACAAGGACATTTTCTCAACAATGTTCATACAGCATTATTTGTAATAGCCAGAACCTGGAAACAACCCAGATGCCCCTCAACCAAAGAATGGATAAGGATAATGTGGTACATTTACAGAATGGAGTATTACTCAGCAGTAAAAATGAGGACCCTAGGAAATTTTGAGGCAAATGGATAGAACTAGAAAAATACCATCCTGAGTAAGGTAACCCAAACTCAGAAAGACAAACACAGTATATATTTACTCATAAGTGAATACTTTTTTTTGATGTGTTCTTGGATTCAGTTTGCCACCAATATTTTAATAAGTATTTTTGCATCAATGTTCATGAGGGAAATTAGTCTGTAATTCTCTTTCTCTGTTGCATCTTTGTGCTGTTTGGGTATCAGGGTAACTGCAGCCTTATAAAAGGAGTTTGACAATGTTCCTTCTGTTGCTATTGTGTGGAACAGTTTGAGGAGTATTGGTATTAGCTTTTCTTTGAAATTCTGATAAAATTCTGAAACTATCTGGCCCTGGGCTTTTTTTAGCTGGGAGACTTTTAATGACTGCTTCTATTTCCTTAGGGGTTATGGGTATATTGTTTATCTGGTCTTGATTTAATTTTGGTATTTGGTATGTATCCAGAAAACTGTCCATTTCTTTTAAATTTTCCAATTTTGTGGAATACCTTTTTTTTTGAAGTATGACCTAATGATTCTCTGG